GCTGTGATTTGAAAGATCACACTGGCCGCTGCCAGGCACAGTCTGGGTCATGTCAGGGGTCAGTGTGATAGAGGGACAGTTCCAGATTCCAGGCTCCACATTTACACCTTTGCATGACTGTCCCATTCAGACCAGTGCCGCAGCCTGTCAGTTTATTACCCAAGGAACCTGACTCCTTTTCATTACTTTATTATCTTCCTGATAAGGCATCCCTCTGACCTTATCTGCGTTCTGCTAATTTCTTGTGCATACAAGGGAACTGGCTTGTCAATATATTACTGCGGCGATAAGCATCAGGATGTGTTTTTCTGTTAACTATGTCGAAGCTCTTTCATTGGTGTCTGAAATGAGTTCTCTCTGGATTTTGTCAGTTTGCCTCCTGTGGCTGCTTCTTAATCCTCACTCAGATCTCGGGCAAGAATCGATAGCTCTGGTGGAAACAGAATGACTCAGAAGGGGCCTGAGGTCTGTGGAGACTGGATTCCATGAGGAAACCTGCAGGCTTTGTAACAGTTTAGCCCTGTGTCCGCGGAGCCTGGAGAAAGTGGGTGGCTGAGCACCGGGAGAGTGAGGGGTGGATCCCAGCGGACAGAGGGCACTTCGTGACAGCTGGATGTGTGGGATGAAGGGGAGAGTGAGTTGTGGAAACGGCCCACGGTTAGATGTGTAGGGCCGGTAGGATGATTGTATAGGTCGGGACCCTGGAGAGCAGAGCACGGGGTTGGGGAGGGTTGATGACAATCCCACGTGGGGCAGGAGGCGTCTGAGTAGGAAATGTGCACTGGGGGTTTATTCTTTCAGTAGGTATTTGTTGGGTGCTTCTCATGTTCAGTGTGTCCTGGGGGCAGGTAAACAATAGCTCCTGTCTCCAGGGAGCTTATCCTGGAGCAAATCCATGGATGGAGGAGAATGATGGGTAAGTTTTAAACCTTAAGGGATAACTTGACGGGGGAGCAGGGAAGGACGGTTGGAGAAGTAGTCGCATAAACGCCGTCCAGTTGGAGGATGGTGGGCAGCAGAGGGCTCACTCTGCGAGGGCAGCTTGTGCTGTGTGTCACTGTCCTTGCCGTGTCCCCAGCACTGCCTAGCAGGTCTCTCCTAGCAGCTCACCAAACAGGGAGGCAGACGGATGAACACATTGGATGAGAAGGTCCAGGGAAGGAAGACAAGGATGAGAGCCTTGGATTTGGCTCATAGCAGTCTCAGGCTGACTCAGAGGTGTTTGAGTGGAGTGTCAAGGATGGAGGATGGGGGTGACGAGAGGGGAATGGCAGCATGGACAGACTGCCTGTTTGATAAGTAGAGGCAGGAATTGTGTGAGAGAAACCAGACCAGGGCAGTGGGTTGAGGGGCAGTAAAGCTGTTCCCAGAGAGCACTTGGACATGCCTGGAGTTGCCTTAATGGACAGCCAGAGGTTTTAATGAGGATGAAGGCTGACGTCCTCTTGCGGAAGGGGAAGGGGAATGAAACTTGAGTTACCATGTACCAGAGGCTTTATCCTGGGAGTCTCCTTTAATGCTCACAACAACCCCAGGAAGAGATCATATTCAGTGGCCTCATTTTACAGGGGGAGAGGTCAGCTCAGAGGGGTGAGCGTCTGCCCCGGGGTGTCACGGCCAGGATGTGTAAATGGGATCAGCCCAGGTCTGCGGGGCCTGGGCCACTTGACCCTGAGACACCCCAGCAGCATTTAGCCAGAATTAGCTGAAAGCTGGGATGGAAAAGGAATCAACAGTTACGGGTTGGAGGGCAGGAAAAAGGGTAGGCGTTGTGGATAATCGATTCTGGATGTAGAAGAGGGCAGTCAGGTGTCTGGACCAAGCAGCTGGGTGTCAGAACCTGCAGGTCAGCAGAGAGCTGGGTGAAGGGCCTTCGGGGAAAGAGGCTCGTTCCTGGCAGGCCTGGAGATCCTGGCTCACCTCCTTATGTGGCATCTGCCAGGTATGAAGGCAATGAATGAGCAAGCAGTGTAGCTCAGAGCAGGAAGTGAGGTCTTAGGTGCTGAGAGCTCATTGAAATGGTAGTGAAAGTGCTGGGCAGCAGAGTAGGGAGAAAAAAGGGTGAGCCAGCTCTTGAAATCTAGAAAAGTGGGGATATGTCCAAGAGCAAAACGAATGTATTTTTTAAATGCCCATGGTGTTTTTTTTCACATTGTATCATTACAGCCCACAACATAGGCTGCCTTTTTTCCATTTTATGGATGAGGAGACCTGAGTCTCCAAGGGGAAACTGCCATGCCTGGGGACACAGCTAGTTAGAAAGCCGTGGACTGGACTGGGATGCGAGCCCAGGGCTGTCTGGCTCCGGGGAGCCTCAGGTGGGAAGGTGAGCCCTGGCCCCACTCTGCCCCGCTCCTTTCCTAGCCTGTCACTGAGAGGGACTGGGTTGGGGCCCGGTGACCGGAGTCCTCGTAACCACAATTGCTCCTTATCCAGCGCACCAGAGATGGTGCTGGGAGTGGTCCCGGCTGTAGCTTGTTAGTTCCATGCAGCAGCCTTGTTATTCACGTTTTACAGATGCAGGTTCAGAGAGGTGTACTAATTCGACTGAGGTCATATAGCTAGTAAGTGAGTAAAGCCTGGAATTGGAACCCAGCTCCCTACACCGTATCAGCTTCTATCTTCAGATCAACCCTATGAGGTCCATGGCTGGCTGACATGTCCCCATTTGACAGTTGAGGAATCTGAGGCTCAAGAAGACACATGGCTCATCCCAGGTTGTACTGGACAGTGGGGTGCACTGGCTAGACCCCAGGACTCCCCACTGCTTGCCTTGGGCTTGTGCAGGAGAGCAGAGATGCAGTGACAAGTCAGGACACAAGGACAAGGGAGGCTCGCCCTGGGCAACCAACCTAGTGAGTGAATGGCAAGGGCAGGTGCAGCCCAGGTGGTGCTGAGGCTCGGGCTGTGTTGGCCAGTGGTGGCTCTCCGGTGACTCCCTGGCAGGTCATCGGCGAGGATTCTTGGCCTCCTCCCGGTAGGGGTAGAGGGCTGGTGCTCACAGCTTCTTTGTTTGTTCTTCACACTTATCTGTCCATCTCTGTTTGTATTTCAGCTTCTGGGGGCGCTGGAAGCAGGAGCCCCGTGGGGTGGAGACCAGCTCTGGGGCGAGGGGCGCAGGGAGAGACAGAGCTCCTTTTTCTAGAAGGAAAGACTCAGCATGTGGGGCTCAGGAATGTACTTGGGAATGTTTCCAATTTATTTTTATTGCATAATGATATCTAATGAAAATGTGGGAAAAGACCCAGGCGCCTGTAACTAACAAGTCACCTGCTTCCGTTTTCTAATGTTTCCTCCTAATCCTTGCATAAGTGATTTTTTTATTGTAACTATCATGTTGATTTCAGCATCTATCTACAGTCCTGTAGCCTGCTTTTTAGATTTGTCATTCTATCACACAAATTTCTGTTCTTCGTAATTATCATTTTAAAACAGCTATGTGATGTTTCTTTCAGTGGATGAGCCGTGTTTTCCTTACCTAGTCCTCTGTTTTGGGAGCACTGAGATTATTTCTGGTTTTCCGCTATTAAAGACGAGTGGTAAGAATAGTTTTCCTTTAAAAATAGGAATTACTTCCCTAAGATAAATTCTCGGGAGTTTGGATTCCTGGATTAAAGAGACTGAAGACTTTTTTTTTCCCATTGGCTTTTGGAAACTATGAGCAAATCCCTTAAAAGCAGTTTCCCCGGGTATTGTTTTGTAATAGGCACACTGGCAGTGGGGGCTGGGACGCCATGCGGGCCAGGCTGTGTCTTGTCCGGGAAATGGCCACGGGCCAGGTCTCTCCCACCTCCGGTTTCCGGCTGCTGCGGTGGCGTTTGGCCTGCCTGGCACCCACCTGTCCCCCTCCCAGACACCCAGGCAAGCGCTTGCTGTGTGAGCGGAGCATTTAGTGGTGCCTGGAAGCCTTACCCTTGCTCACTTGTTCCACAACAGAGACCCCTAAAGAGGAGTTTGCTGCTGTCATTTACCTTTGAACCCATTTTATGTTGGCTTTGAAGGTTGATCTCTCTCTCTCTTTTTTTCCGCCTTTTCCCAGAATCTGTTCCTGTTGAAAAGCGTCTCCTGGATTCCCAGGCCCTTTGGGGCTTTAGGAGACCAGTAGGTGAAGTTTTCTACCTCTAAGGAGAAGCAGTACCGACTCCCACATCAAGAGCAAGTTCCCCACTGCTATGGATACCGAGTCCACGTATTCTGGATATTCTTACTATTCAAGTCATTCGAAAAAATCTCACAGACAAGGGTATGTAAGCGATTGCTTGTTCCCCTTTCGCTCTGGGGGACACTTGCAGGTGGGTCAGGCCTCCCCGACTCGCTTTCAGACAGTCCCACGGCCGGGCTGCGGACGCTGGCGCTTCAGTCCGGCCGTGCGGGAGACGCTGAGCTTTAAGAGCATTTAACATGCGTTGGGAGGAACTGCACCGCCAGTTTACATTTTTTAGGCCCCGTTACAGTTGATGACCTTAATTTCTCACAATTGATTTTAAATTAAAGTTTCTCCCTTCGGTGGAAATGTTTTTCGTTCCTAAGTGCTTCTGCTAGATGGCAGTCCTCCCAGAGCGTTACTGAGAATATAAATGGAAGTTGGAAAAAAAAAATAAGTGTTAATTTGTTGCTTTTCACCCAAAGCTGCTGACTCATTGTCCATTATGTGTTTGCCCGTGAGGCAAATACACTGAAGTGGCAGGATTGGCCTGGTGCCTTATTTCTGACTACTCTTCCCAGTGAACAGACCTGGGTTTTGAAAGCTCTGGCCTGGGTGATGGGGGCCAGATTTCCCCTCCTCTGTGCAAAGTGAACAGGTCTGCACTGGTGCTCCTAGGTAGGGCCTGCTGTATCACAGAGCTGCAGAATGGTGAAGAGAGAGACGAGGGAGCGAATGAATGGAGAAGTGGTCCTGTGCTGGTGAATGATGCAGCTGATACATTTGTAGTGCCGCCTCTTACTTAGACCCCTCACCTGTAAAATGGGTTTAGCGACACCCTCTACACAGGGCTGTTGAGGGGATTAAATGAGAGTATGCATGTGAAGCCTTTAACACAGCATGTAGTAGGTCACTAACTAGGGACTGTATTAATGGTATTGTTAATGGCCTTGGCATTTCAGCACCACATTCAAAGGCCCCAGCTGGCTACAACCCAAAGGCTCACCTATGATCACAGCTCTGCAGAGGCTGGGAATATGTTGATTGCTGTGGTGTTTCCCTGACCGAGCAGTTCCCTGTACAAGGAGCTGAATGCAGGGCAGGATTTAATTTTGTAAAACAGCAATACAATCTATATGTCTAATTGATTTGTTTATTTGCGAGCCTGTGTGGATGTCCACGCACAGAAAGGGGTCCAGAAGGACAGTGTCCGAGCTGCCGGGAGTGGTCATCGACAGGGAAGGGGCTCCACACAGCGTGGTGACTGATGGGAACTTCCACATATGCTGCAGCTTTCTCCACTTGTTCATTCTTTTACAAGTGTATATTTTGTAATTAACAATATGAGTGGAATAGAGTGTACAATAAAGATTTTTTTCAAAGATTATTTAATGATATGAGAAAATATCTATGTGGCCATGTTACCAAAAAAAAAAGATTCAAAACTTTGTAAATTATAAGTTAGATATTCTTATGCTATAATGAATAGTAATCATACTGACCGTGCCTTCTCCAAGTATGGAATTATTGGAATTAGAGGTGTGGTGTTTTTTTAAACTTTCACTGTTTTCTAAATTTCATGTATTGCTCTTATAATCATAACAATTTGGGGAAGAGAGGTGAATGAGCTTGTGCTGGAGCCCAGGCAAGGCTTTCTAGGCAGCGTGGGAAACGGGCGGAGTGCTGCTGAGCGAGGCGTCAGGTAACATGCCAGCCCCGATCCTGAGAAAGTCAGGAACCCTCTGGTGAGAAAAATTTAATCACAAATTTCAATCACTGGGTAAACATATCAGATTCGTTCTAAAATACCAGAAACAGCTGTTTTGAAATGTCCAGTCTTTGAATGTAACTAGAAAAAAGGAGCTCCCTTGTCAGCGCGCCAAGCTTCCCCGTCCCACAGTGCAGGGGATGGAGTGGGAACTTGGGTTCTCAGGGAGATTGGAGACCGTGGAGGACAGCTTGCCACGGTCTGAGGAGGGGGCCATCTCTGGTCTCCTTCATCTGCACTCGCAGCCCCACTGCCATTGCTGTGCTCTGCTGTTTCCTCAGGCCCCTGGGGGCCCCCAGAAATTGACACCACAATGCTCCTATGGAAACGTTAAGAGACTCTTAACTTTCAACTGAAACAGCATGCAGAGCTCTGAGTGCCTTCTTGGACCCCTGAGGAAAGTACTTGGCATTGATACTACAAGCTGAGACTTTAAATATTTAACCAAGAGTGTTATGGACTGCCTCCTCAGGAGAGCACTGGCTGTGAGATGACCACTTGGGATTTATGGGTGCATCTTTAGAAGCACAGCAGCCACTGAGGTGGCTTCCCTGATGGGCGGCCCCACGGGGCATGGTGACTGGGGCGGAGGTCGTGAGCCGTGGATAGTAGGTGTCGGGGCATAAAGAGTGTTGGGCGGTAATAGTAGCCTTGCATGGTCGTTCCCTCGGCCCAGAAGAGGGTATTGTGTCACCAGGAGGGTCCCTGTGAACGCTGCTCTGCTCAGGGATTTGTTGGCAGTTTGAGTGGAAGAGTAAGCGAGGACGGGGAGCTGACTCTTTGGTAATTTTAGGAGAACTTTTGGAGAGGAATAATGAAGTGCAGCCAACTTGACATGTCTGATGACACTGAGCTCATCTTTGGAGAGCTCGCTGGGTTCCAAGCAGATGACAAGTGACTCTTTTCTAACAAAGAGGTTAGTGGTCTGGTTTTGTGATACCTGGCATCTCCAGAGGGGATCCAGTTAACTTGCTGGGAAGATGGGGCCGACTCCAGCTGACCTCCCCTAACCTTTGAGTCTGGAGCATCAGTTCCTGAGTTAAATTCAAGGCCACTGCCGGGACTGTTCACGACCAGTTTGAGAGTGTCAGGACCCTCTGTCATTGTCCCCCGTCCTCACAGCAGCTCCAGGATGGTGGGAGGTGGGATCCAATTGAGCCAGGTGGTAAAACAGACACAGAGAGACAGGGTTGTTTGCCTGACGTTTCGAGGTTAGTAGGTGCCCCCAGGATTCAGGCCCCATTTGCTACTGCTGTGGAAACCATGCTTTCCCCCTGGGTGGTGCTGGGTGGAGAGCAGTGGGAGGAGCTTGTAGGGAAAAAAAGGAATGGAGGGTAGACCATGTGGCTAACGTGCTAAAATGCATTGTCCAAAAGAGGCTGCCTGAGTGCTAGGGGAATTGGTGCTTTTGTTTCAAGGCCGCTGCAGGGTCACTTTGCGCTGTGCCCAGCAGCCCCCAGACCTGAGTCAGGGTGGGAGGAAGCAGCCAGCCAGGCCCCAGCAGTCGGGGGAGAGAAAGGACAGGTAGTGGGTGGTGGTGGAGAAGGAAAGGGAGGAGTAACCGGCGGGTCCGGCTTTCCCCAAATAGAAATAGACAAACAACAGAAATAGAGCTAAATAATCTTCCCAGGAAATGCCGGTCTGGGAGTTGATGGGGATTCTGGCTGGAGTGAGAGGGGGTTAACAGCAGCCCCCCAGGGCTCAACTCTAGAATCATCTAAATACATTCGCTTACACACTCACACACATGCAGGTAGAGACACATGCCCGGACCTTCAACGTGTTATTGCTTGCTCTCCCCTCCACCCCACACACACACACACACACGCAGACTTATCTTTACTCATACGGGCAGATGACACCTGGGGATAGGCTCAGAGAAGAAGACACAGGGACTTCTGTGACTGCCACACCGGTCCAGCAAAGGAGCACAGGTGATCTGGACCACTCAAGTGGAGCTGGAAAAACACCAGGCACGCGCATGTGCTTGAGAAACCCTTTCGGTGGTTTGGTAGCCGACTCCAGTTTCCTGTGTCTCCTACACATGGTGAACTGATGGTCTTCACCATTGGGGAGCCCTCTCCCAGAGGGTTCGGCTCTGGGCACGTCCTTGGCATCATAGCAGTTGGAGCTCTGGGGATGAACATTTGGGTACCGGTGCCGTGAAGCAGCCATACTGGGCTCATAGCTCTGCATGCCGGAAAGCACTGGACAGCAGCATTTTTGTTGGACTTCTCTGTGTAGTCCTGGCTCAGACACCTACCCGGAGCAGTAATTCAGGACGAGTGATTTTTATAAAAGCTGTAAGACAGGTCTTGCTTCCTTTTCAAGGACCAGCGTGACGTGTGGCCCATGTTGAGTTGATGGAGTGAGCTTTCCATCCGCCCATCACTTGACTGTCTGGAAGGCTCTTGGCTCTGGGCCTGGTGCACACTGTCCTGAATCCCGCTCCTAGTCTCAACGACTCACTGCTGTTTTAGTAAAGAAGCTACACTGCACTTTGCAACTGTACATTATATAGCTGGGCATTGCACTCACCACTCCCATCACTGAGCCACTGCTGTGGACAGGGCATTTCACAAATAGGTCAGTTTCCAAGTGGTGACTCTAGCCACCTCCTCCCAGGAGCATTTGGGCAGGAGAGCCTTGGCTAAAGTTTCCTGGGCCGCCTGCTTCCTAACCCCCTGAGGTGCTGGTGAAAAGGGCAGGCTCCTGTTGTCTCTCCCTTCCAGACTGTTTTTCTCGGGGTGGGCCAGTGAATCTGTACTTAATCTGCACCCCAGGTGACTTGTCTGCACATTCAGGTTTGAGAAGCATTGGTTTAGGGTGTTGGGCTTGGAGGATGAGAAACCTTTCTGGGGTTATTGGGTAATAGGCTCTTACCTCCTTACCTCTGAGGTTACCAGCGAAATTATAGAGATCTCTTCTCCTTTGGGGGCTGTTGGCCCTTTAACAGCCAGGCTAGGCCAGTCGGGGTCAGTTCAGTGATGGCTGGCCCCTGACAGGCTGTCTCCAGCCCTGGGTGGTTCCCTACCTGCTTTCGGCCCTGGTAGCTCCAGGAATTGGCACCCAGTGAAAGAATTTTCATTTCCAGTGGAATTTATGTTGTCACGGGATTTGACCCATGGGACTAGTAAATAGATAGATGGGTTAGGGGAGCATGTGACTTGGCTGATGGCAGGACAGTGACAGATGGGTGAGCAGTTGGGGAAAGTGGAAACAGAGAAAGAAGAGGAGGCTCCTCCAGTCGGCCGGGTGGGGCCCTGGGGAGCAGCGACTCCAGACTTAGTCTGAACAGCTCATTCTAAGACTGACCAAGCACGTGGGAAATCTCCCCGAGTGCTTACTGTTTCTTACAGTGAGTCCTTGTGAAGTGGTTGTCTTTGGCAGCCCAGAGTGCTGGGCACACTGCTTTGTGCTCTCCGAGGTCACGGTCCAGCCATGACTTCAGCAGTAGCTGCACAGGCAGATTCCATAGCTCTGGCAGCTCCTCGCGTTCAGGGTGTGAGAAGGAGCGCTAGGAATATTGATGCTACAGGATCTTCCAAGTGCTCTTCCAGTCAGTGCAGCATCACGGGTATGAATCAAGGCATTGGGTTCACCTCCCGCTCTGCCACTTACTAAGACTTTGGGGAGTCCCTTAACCTCTGTGAGCCTCAGTTTCCTCATCTATAAAATGGGGACAATCATACCCCATAGGGTTATTGTTAGGACTGAGCAAGATCAATCTAATAAGGCCCTTGGTACAGTGCTCTGTAAATTGGGGTGGGGAGTGGAGTGATTGACAATGATAGACACATCTCTTTGTAAACAAAATCTCTCAGCTCTTTCCCTGGTTGCCCATAAAATAAAACACTGGAGCCGACCAGAACCACATCTGCTTTTCTAGACTCTAATTTAGCAATAGATTGTAGTGGTAAGTCACGCCCTAGGGGTTAGAGATGCTATCACAGAAAGTGTCTCTGGGTCAGCTGAAGCCTCCCTCTTGCCTTTGGAGGAATTAACCGTACTTATCCTAGAGAGAGATTGATAAGGCGGAGGTTTGACCACAGGAAGTCTGCATGTGGTTTTGTTAGCTAAGTGGCAGGTTGATAGGAGAGATGCTGTGCCAGGGGAGGCGGTTTGATTGTGTGTTAAAAGCTCCTTTCTCATCTCGTTTTCCAAGGAACACGTACTCTCCTTCACCAGGTCACCCTTTTTTGCCGCGTGCAAATGGTAACAGCTACAATGATAGCTCCTGTGTGCTGACTGCTTATTGCACATCCCTCTATCTATGTGGTATTATCATTATCCCCATTTCGTAGATGAGGAACTGAGGTTTTCAGACGTTTGTTGACTGAAATGTAATTAAAATACACAATGTGGGAGCTGTGAGTTCAGATTTATTTGCGGCTTCCTGAGAACTAGAGCCCGGAGACGACCTCTCTGCCATCTCTGAAGAACTGCTTCAAAGAGGTCAGGGGAGAGGTCAGGCGACATATGATCTGGTGAAGGGGCACGTGCAGTCACTCACACAACCTTCTGCTAGTCATGAGGAGCAGATGTTCACTTTAATGATTTTAGTGCTTTTCTAGGTATGAGAAGATGCAAGAAATTGGGTTCATAAAATTTTCTCCTGAAAATATCTTAACTCTTTGAAGGCCTGTTCTGCCAGTTTTCCCAGAGCACAGCGCCTCAGTCCTGATCTCCACCCTGAACTCCTTGCAGGGTGTGTTGAAGGTCAGCGACTGTGGTGGCTAGTGACAATCCTTTTAGAGCCAGATAGTGAGCGACATTCTCTCGTTGGCAGATTGAACAACTTGTGTAAGGTTACACGTCAGATGGGGTAGAACCAGAATCCGACTGTTTGCCTCCGTGGTGTGTGCGATACTTCTGTCCTGCCTGGGAGACCCTGGGGAGGAGGGCACGTGGGTGAGGAAGGAGGAGCAATGTCAGGGCAGCTTGTGCTGGAGGTGGGGCCCCTGGGGCTCCTTTGGCGGGGCTTCTGGGATGACTGTTCACAGCTCGGGGTGGGGGTGCCAGTCTCCATAGGTCAAGACCCCTGGGCTTTATACGGTGAATGATCCTTTTGCAATTTCATCATTGACCCACGCAGGGTGCTGTCAGAGTCACCCTGGAAGGCCACCCAGGAAGATCATCTGGGGTCTTTGACGTCGTCTAGAACCCATGGGAAATATTTTTAGTTTTGAATTTGGAGGAATGAGAAGTAAATGATTCTCTGCATTGATTTAGAATTTCCTTTCTTCTCTTCTCATCCGAAGGTATAGGGTGATGGTGTGTCCTGGATTCTTTTGGACAGACCAAAGCTGAAGTATTTTGCTATGTTATCCTAAATAAAAAAAAAAAGTCCTGGAAAGAAAATAAGTTTAGGCAAATTATTATAATCAGATCTAGTCAGGAATTTTACAGTGAAATGTGCCTCACCTACAGAAATTCTAAGATTCACAATATTAGGCTTAGGAAAAGCAAGATCACTGTTGACAGAGGAGGGTGACAGTCTTTGTTCTGGGTCCTTGAGTGGCAGAAAGAAAACACTAAGTAGAGAGTAAAGATCAGCTTGTTCCTTGCAGAAGAGGTGATGGGTGGGTGTCAGCTGTGTGTGTGTGTGTGTGTGTGTGTGTGTGTGTGTGTGTGTCTAGAATTTCCTTAAATTCAAGATGAAATTTATAACACGTTTTGGTGTGTTGTTGATTACTGTGGCATATGTGCTAGCTGATGATCTTTTATTTATTTATTTTTTTCTCAGGGAAAGAAATAAAGAGAGGCATAAATCACCCCGGAATAAAGATGGCAGAGGGTCAGAAAAATCTGTCACCATTCAAGCTCCCACTGGAGAGCCCCTGTTGGGAAATGACTCTGCTCGGACGGAGGAAGCTCAGGTAAGGATCACGGGCTCTATAAGTACACTGCCCCTTGATTAAGCCTCTTTTCTGTAAATGTTTTCCTAAGTCCTGTTGCAATAAGCTCTCTTGGGTTTTTATCTTTATTTTTCTAGCATGTTAATGAGTTTATCTATGTCCTGTGGTTTCTTGTTGGTCTAAGGACAGCCTGTCCTGCCATTGGCTAGCCTGGGGAGTCTTCTGAAGTGTGATTGGCTGGCCTGCTTTGAATGGTGTTGAAAAGGAGCCAGCGAGGCTGATGACAGGGCAGAGAAGGGAGAGTTGCAGGCTGCGGGCTCTGGTGACTCATTCCAAAGTAGAACCGTGTAAGGGAGAAGGAAGCTCGCTCTCCAGAAGCCTCAGTCGTGTTGGGGAGAAGAGCAGAGAGGTGAGGACAGCCCAGGTGGAGCCTCACTCCTAGGTACAGGGTAAACCAGAGGTTGCACACTTAGATGCCTGGTAGGAAAACACAGATGAATGAAGTGGGCCCCGGCTTTCACAGAAGGGGCAAAGATGTATCACGCTAGCTTGGGGCTAAATAGCAATCCGTGTGGCATGTCTGTGTCTGTTGGGGTCTTTGGCACCTGGAGAACGCGTTTCCTCCGTCGAGGGAACAGCAGCTTCTCAGCTCCAAACGCTTATCACTGCCCAGGAATGCAGGAATTCAGTGTTCCTGGGTCTTGCAATACATTTTTTTTTTGATTCACCTTCTTTAAAGAAAACTAGAAATGAGGATTTTACCTGCAATCTCCCAATTTTAAAATATTGACTGTTTATTAGTTCTTTTAAAACACGGTGTGTTTTCTTCTGTTTGGGTCCAAACTGCCTGGCAGTCCACCTGATTAAAATAAACATCTGAGCTATACTCAGAAACATGTTAGCACACCCTCCACAGCTCTTGAAGTATCTGCACGTCCAGCCTTGGCCCACAGTCAACCGGTGTATGCCCACACGGCTCTAAAGAGACAGATAAGCATGTATCTGAGTGTACTTACAGGTACAGACAGATACGCATTTATAAGCAGATAGATGAACCGAAATTGGGATTCCTCAGAGCACACAAGATGCTCTTGAAAGCCAAAGCTACAGCTGTGGTTGAATGTGGGTTTGTTCAGTAATAAGTAAATGTCTTCAGTCCTTACTGTTGCACCGCTTGCCTGAGGTCTGGGACGGTCTTAGGGATGGAGGACCAGAGGGCCAAAGGGATGGTTGGGTGATGGACCAGTCCTGAGACTGGACTACCCTTAAGTGCTTCAAGGGTCACTGTCCTGCTGGGTGTGAATTCAAAGGGGCTGGTAAATGCCCACTGTGAAGGCATTTCTTCTGTGCATCTTCGGTTCGTCTTGTAGCTCACTGGGAAGCTACGTTAGGAAGCTGTTGGTGTTTACGCCAGGATGATGTGACGGGAAAAGCATTGAAATTGAAGGCTGTGCTCTCAGCAGCTGTGGGACTTTGGGCATTCACAGCCTTTGTGGGCCTCAGTTTCTTCATTGAAAATCCAGGGGATTTGGATCAGGGGATCTTGGGTCCCTTCTCTTCTAAGAATCTCAAGCTTGAGAAAACCCTTGGACATCCTCCTTTTTTGGGCACAGATGTGTACACATTCTTAAAATGGACAAGGAATTTACTTAGCAGCTCTTTGGCAGGAAGAAGTGTGAGTAGCTAAATTAACAAAATAACCACAATGCTAGTGATAATTATTTCAACATTGATCATCAGCTGGATATTAGGCCCAATACAAAACGTGGAATCCAATATTTGCCTTCACTAGTAAGTTATTTACATAGTCTGTAAACTCACCTTATATTAAACTCCCCTTATATTAAAGCAAGTTGTCCATCCTTGAATTTGTGGCTGTTTTTGCCTCTACTGATAATTTTTTTCTTTTTTCAAAATAGAAGTAAAGTTTACACACAGAGAAATGAACAGATCGTAAGTGTATAGTTTCAAAAGTTGTAACAGCTGAATAAACCCTATAACCCACACTCCTGTCAAGATACATATTTCTGTCACTCTAGAAAGTTCTCTCTTGCTTTCTGAGTCAGTCCCTGCCTCCATCCCTCTCCCCGGCCGTGTTTTGATTTCTGTCACTGTAGACTAGTTTTGCCTGTTTTTGAGTTGAATATAATTGGAATCATATTATTTTGTTTTGGACTTCTTTTCACTCAGCATAATAACTTAGAGATTTATCCATGTTTTGCTGTGTTTCAGCAATTCATTCTTTTTTATTTTTGCTGAGTAGCAGTCTAGCTTATGAACATACCACAATTTGTTGTCCATTCTCCCAATGGACAGACATTTGGGTTGCATTGTTTTTGGCTAGTATGAAAATAAAGCTGTTAGGGGCATTCTTGTACAGATCTTCTTCATGGACATATGTTTTCATTTATTTGGGGTAAAATTCTGGGAGTGGAATTGCTGGGCCGTATAGTTAAGTGTAAATTTACATTTATATGAAACTGCCAGATCAGTTTTCAGGAGTGATTGTCCCGTTTTATGCTTCCGCCAGCAGTGTTTGAGAATTGTGGCTGCTTCTGGCTGGTGTCTTAAATAGCAACTTCTCTGGTAGTGTGTGGTACTGGTAACCTTCCGAGTCGAAGAACCGTCTGCTCATCCGTCGAGACCTTCACCGCCACCCCCACTCCTTGCCATAGCCTGTGCATTTCATATTTTCGTTTCTTGATTGTTACTAGATTTGAGGCTATTGTTGGGCTGTGAGATCCCTGTCTTGCTGACTCAGCTGTTAACTTAGATAAGATTGTTCTAAGTCGGTATCTTACACGTGAACTTCACCCAGTTTTTACCATTATGTGTGACTGTTTTTTCTGAGTTAAATCACATACCAAAATCTCTGAAGCAAAACCTCTTTGGATCCCGTGTGGCTTTTCATTGCCTTCTTACTCTGTTGTTTATTTGGAATGAAGTCAGTTGCCAGAGAAATAGCAAAGTCATTTAAGATCCTCACAACTGGAATCATGTGAGAGGAGGAGACAGTTGTTCCCAGCTACCTCAGAGTTTAAAAAGCAAGAGAAAGCCAGAAAGTGAAAGCAAGAAAGTAAAAGACACATTCTTGGTGTTTAGTTTGTCATAAGAATATGTTTTAGGGAGAAATTTTTGAGCCATCCTGGCTGTAGATATCTGAATCTGCTCAGCTTGTTCCATGAGAAATGTTGTCAGGGAGTCCTTCATATTAAGTGGGTCTTGACAACATTGTGGAAGTTTTAAAAATGTGTGTGCTAACTTCAGGTGGGCTTTGGTTTGTACGGAGCAAAGTAAGCTCCCTCCTGCGCTCTTCACCCCTCACAGCAACTCGAGGGCCTCGTAATACTCCCCATTTCCAGGAGCTGGACTTTGTGAGCCAAGAACTGTGAAGAAAATGCAGAGGGTTTTCTCCTTAGGCTGTAGGTGAGCTCTCACACGTTAGTCTGACAGGGGGACTGTCTCACGGGGTGGACGGCCCCAGCCCCAGCCCCCAGCCTCGCCCGAATTCCAGCACAGCGGATGCTAATCGCTGTTGTAGTAATGAATCACCCAAACAAACAGGTTGAATTATTTTTTCTCTGTTTGAAAAGGCAAATATTTGGAACATTTTGAAAAAATTGCAATGAAAATTGTTTCAGTTAAAAACTTCATATGTTTAAAGTGTTCTGTTCTCTAGGAAGCCCACGCTCGTGGGTCGCTTAAAGGAGGGGGGTCACTTAAAGGAGGTGGGTCTCCCTGACCACCGTGTCTCCGCGTGCTCTGTGGCTTTTGCACGTGGCCTGCCGTGTGGCTCTTGGTCCTCATCATTCTCTCTCCGGCAGGATGACAACTGGGGCGAGACCACCACGGCCATCACGGGCACGTCGGAGCACAGTATATCACAGGAAGACATCGCCCGCATCAGCAAGGACATGGAGGACAGCGTGGGGTTGGACTGCAGGCGCTACCTGGGCCTCACTGTGGCCTCAGTCCTCGGACTCCTGGTCTTCCTCACCCCCATCGCCTTCATCCTGCTGCCCCCCATCCTGTGGCGGGACGAGCTGGAGCCCTGCGGCACCATCTGTGAGGGACTCTTCATTTCCGTGGCGTTCAAGCTCCTCATTCTGCTCATCGGGACCTGGGCGCTGTTCTTCCGCAAGCAGAGGGCCGACGTGCCGCGGGTATTCGTGTTCCGTGCCCTCTTGTTGGTCCTCATCTTTCTTTTCGTGGTTTCCTATTGGCTTTTTTACGGGGTCCGCATTTTGGACTCTCGGGACCGAAATTACCAGGGCATCGTGCAATACGCCGTCTCCCTCGTGGACGCCCTCCTCTTCATCCACTACCTGGCCATCGTGCTGCTGGAGCTCAGACAGCTGCAGCCCATGTTCACGCTGCAGGTGGTCCGCTCCACCGATGGCGAGTGTCGCTTCTACAGCTTGGGACACCTGAGGTAAGGGGATCATCCGGGGACGGAAAGGACCACTGACGTCTTGCTAGAGGACAGCTAGCCTTCAGCAAGGTGCCAAGAGCCAGGATTGGGGCCTGACTTTCTTTCAGGTTTTGGGAAGAGCTGTGTGTGCACGTGTGCATATGTGTGGTCAGGGGCGTTCGTGTCCATGGACTTTCCTGACTTCTGGATGGGGTGGCACAGGTACTGGCACTCATCCAGGTTGGGGCTTTGTTGGGCCAGTTTCCAAACGTGTTGACAGCTCTTAAAAATGATGGAGAAGGGAACGTGATGACTGCTAGCTTTGCCGCTGAAATCAACCTGAGAACAACAGAGCGATCAGCCAGCAGTTCCAGTCTGTTCATAATGGTACATCTGGTCTACCCTGCTGTCCCAGTGGAATTATTAATCATTCCTTTTTTCCCCGCTCTCAGAGGTTCCTGGTTTGGGCAGTAAATTATATGGTCACCCAAGTGACCCTCTAGCAAAGAATCAAGGGCCAGTTAGAGACTCCAAGGAGAGCTGTGTAAATGCATGCATGAGAAAAAGCTAGAAATGCATTAAGATGTCATATTTGAAATCTCTGCATAAAATCTAATTATCTTGTGGTTGACTAAAAGAGTGATCATCATTATCTATTTTAGTTTGTTTTTATTTACCCTGAGGTGAGCACATTGTATAGATTGTCTTCACAGAACTCTTTGATGTCCATACTATTAACCCCTGTATTACAGAGGAGGAAATGCGGGTTTAGGGAGCTTGGGTAATTTATGCAAAAGAACATGACTAGTCTTGTTCACTATTCACCAGATACCATGAAGCCAGACCTGAGTTAATGCCTCCATTATGGCATCTCTCACTTTGTGTTACTGGCCTATTTTTCTATGTTTTCTGCCACAAACTATGGGCTCCCTGAGCCCACAGGCACTGTGTCTCACTCCTCTTTGCATCCTCAGTGCCTGGCCTAGAACACGGTGGCACTCAGATGGTTACTGGGTGAAAGAGTAGCCTGGGATATCTGATGTGTGTAACCTGTTTGGCACATGGTGAGCACTTTGTTCATTGTAGCTGTCACTGCTGTGATACGGCAAAGCAGCCAAGATAGCAAGGGCACCTGAGTGGGGATCAAAACAATAGGCTTTGTCATATTTTTGGCTGGGGCCCGAGGAGGTGGCCCGACCTGAGTTTGGAGTCAGGTTATGCTGCGAGACCATCTTGGTGTTGGCATGAATCTTTCATTCCTCTGGCTCAGCCCGCGCCACCTGAGGACTGGCTGGTTTGGTGTTCAAGGCTTCTGCCACCTTGACCAGTCCTTGGAGGGAATCAGTGTCTGATTCACGTGTTCTCTGCAGCAAATCAGGTGTTGTGAATCCTTCGCAGATGCCCTTGGGGCTCTGAAAGCAAGTAAATCACTGCTGCTTATTCCTCTCAGACAGCTTTCTTTCACCATATTTTACGTTGGAGAATGACCGGCAGGCTTGTATTAAATATCTGCCACGTGCAGAGCCCAGGACTGGGGGCTCCAGAGACACAGGCTGGCTGCCCCCAAAGCTCTTTTCCGGGACTCCTCAGAGAGAGACCAGTGTGCCGCTGTGCAGGGACAGTTGCCAACACAGGCCTTGGTATGGGTGATGGGGACAAAGGAGGACGGGGGAGATTTCAGGCAGTGGCAGCGATAAAGCCCAGCCACCCGTCTATCTCAGGACTGGACAGGTTTTGCCAGAGATCAAGAGGGTGGAGAGAAATCCAGCTCTGGTCACAGAGAGATGAGTGAGACCTGGGACTCTGTAAGTGTAAGTAGCTAAGACCTTGGCTGGTTGTGAGGCCTAGTGCGGTATTGTGCGTGGGCTCAGCCCAGGCTGGTGTGAATCCCGCCTGTGGAGGTGGAAAAGGCTGGCATCTTCTCACGGTAGGCAGTCCAGGCAGTGGGGCCCACTTCCTCCATGGGCTCCCACGTCACTCCCCGCTCCAAGACCGGATGCTCTGCATGCTGGATCTGGTTTGGGGGCTGAGAGGAAACACACAGAACAGCCCCAGGACAGGATGCCTCTGGTATGTTCAGAAAATTGTAGGTGACCCTGGTTCCTCACCACGTAGCTGCACCGGCCAGGGATAGACCTGGGCCGAGAGGCAGGACTGGTTGCGCTGCGTGGTCCAGGGCTCGCCACAGACCCCTCGTGGTTGTCCTCACTATGACCAACAGCTGCCCAGTCCTTACTGCTAACCCTGAAGCCACTCACCCCACCTCCCCAGGGAGACTGAAGATGGCACAATTCCAGCAGCCCTGGCAGTGGCCCAGATCTTCCTCGCACCTCCTCTTCAGGGCCCTGCCTCCAGTCAGGCCCCCCTTCTCCTTCCCATGGAGACCCTGGTTTTGGGGTGGAAGAATGGCCAGCGAAGGAGAGGGCAGGGCCGGCAGCCCCTGGGACAGCCAGGTGGTGGGATCCGCGCAGGCTTGGCATCCATCCCTTCCTGCTGGCCTGCACTCACCCACTGATCCTCAGGCTAAATCTGGTCTAAACCCAGCGGTGGCTGGAAGAGTCACTGGGCCAGAAATAGAACTTCTAAGCCCTTTTGTAAAGTGTAGAAACAGACAGGAGGGAAGAGGGAATCAGAATAGACAAAGAACGAGTCCCTGGGATCAGAGTAGCAGGTCATCCCCAGACCAACCAGAATCAGGCCGGCCCACCCTCCTGTTAAGCAGCGGCCAGTGGGGCTGAGGTACAGGGCAGCGGTGAGTTCTTTTGTTGTTTTGTTTTCAAAGGCAATTTCATAAAATCGACTGAGCTATTTTTTTAGAGTATTGAGAAGAATGCCTGTTCTTTAGTTTCTTAAAGAAAATATGCTTCTCCTTAGCTCTCATGAAAGGTACTTGCAGGGACCTTGCTTGTTGGCAGGAATGGGGTTTAGGCTTATTTGAAAACTTTCAGAAATATAAAAGGTTCCTGTTTTCCAAAGTGAGATACTTGCACGTAGATTAAGGTACTCCCTAACCTTTGCCCCGTGCCGTCTGGATTGCCAGGCCTCTTAGGGTGTCTCCCTTACGCCTCCTCGCTGCCATCTGGGCGGGGGCAGGTGGTGTCGTGGTGTCATCCCTTTACCGTCGAGAGCCCCCAGCCGTGGGTTAAGGGACCTGCTTGAGGCCACAGGGAACCAGCGCCTTCTTGTGCATCACACCCATCCCCATGTTCTCTGCCGCATCCCAGGATCTGGGCACGTGGGTTTGTGATTCTCCACACATACCACACATGTCACTTTTCTTGGCCATGTTCTTACAGTGAGTTGCCAACTTTTCCAGGATTTCACCGAAGACTAGTAAGTTTTGATCTGATGGTATCTGGGGAGAAACCCAGAAGAAAAGAGACTCAGAAATGACATTTAATTATCCTCATTAATGATTTCTCAGTTTTGAATCTTTAAAGATAAATATACAGCAGCCGGTGGTGTCGGCTGGCTGAGTCCGAGATAGAGCAGTAGCTACTGGAAGCCTTGCCAGTTAACCATGACCAGTCTCTGCCGGGTGCCAGGCACCTCCTAAGCTCTTAACATGCAGCTCATTTAATCTTCCCAGCACTCCTGGGAGGTGGGCACTGTCGTCCTCATTTCCAGGCGAGGAAATGCAGGCAAAGAGGAATTAAGGAGGTTGCCTATGGCCACGCAGTTTATAATTGTGGGAGCCGGGATTTGAGCCCAGGCTGGTTCCAGAATGATCTTAACCGCCTCTGAACAGATGTGTTTGTGTTCATGTCGCTGCTTTAACAGCGCATGAGTGAACTTGTAAGCATTGGTTTGAGCCCAGGCGGGGTGCCAGCTATTTTTGTACACATTATTTTATTTCATTTACCTCATAGCTTCAGGGCTGGAAAGGAGGGGGTGGAGAGGATTGTCATAGAGGGCTGGCCCCCACTCTGCGGTCATTCCTGAGATCCACTGGTTCTTGTTTTCAGTCAGTCAGCAAACAGAGCCTACGCTTTCTTAGAACCACAGTAGGAGGGAGGTTTGAACCTTTATCTGGTCAAACGTTTTTAAATTGCTATTAGTCGCATGTCCCGAAGAAGACCTCTTTCTTTTATCTATTACTGTTAAAACCACCCCAAAACTGAATAGTTAGGGCAATGGTATTTTATTATTATTTCTCACAGTTCTGTGGGCTGGGCCCTGCTGGGTGGTTCTGTGGCTGGTCTGGCCAGCGGTCCCTGTGTGACTGCAGTCACGTGGTGAGTCGGCCGGGGTTGGGCTCCTTTCTTGTCCAGGGTGTCTGTGGTCCTCTCCTTCCCCAGAGGACTTCCCCTCTGGAGGAAGAGCTTCTTCATAAGGGTAGCTAGGCTTCTCAGGGCTCCCAGGAACACAAAAGCAGAAGCTCTCAGGCCTTTTAAGGCTTAGGCCTGGCGCTTGCCCAGTACTGCTTGCCCTGCATTCTCTTCTTAGAGCAGTTCAGAGGCCCAGCCCAGATTTAAGGAGCCAGGACGACCCAAGGTGGGGAATACTGGGAGGGCTGGCTCACTGCCACGATGTGGCAGGCTCCCACGACAACCTCAGGCTCTCATTCTCAGAGTGTGCATATGCTTACAGTTCTAAAAAATTTAATTATTGACTTCGATTCTTCCAAGAGTCCAGAAGAAACGTTTCAAGTCAGGGAAAGAGCTACTAAAAAGGAGGCACATTGAACACGAAGGGAGAGAGACAGCTGATAGTCGTCAGCCAGGAGAGAGACACACAAAGCACAAAACAGCTAGAACTCTCGTCTCAGCCCTCTGGGAAGCTTGTCCACGCACAGTGACCCATTCTGCAAGGTACTCATGTTGCTGCAGCTCCGCTGTACCTAATCCAACCAGCAGGTTTTTAAACTCAATGCTTCATTCACTGAGACTAAGAGTATCTTGTAAATTGGCACTGACCATGGACCTTTAATCAAAGGTCTGGTTACTGATCACAGAACCCACCATGCTTTAGAAGAAATGATTCTTGGATTTCTTTTCAGACAGTGGAAATTTGTGATGGCG